CGGTGATGGTGGTCGTTGTGGTCGTCGTGGTCGTCGTGGTCATGCTCGGGCGCTGGAAGCGCAAGTCACGAGTCTTGAGTGTGAGCCTCGAGCGAGGGCAGCATGCAACGCAGCAGCGCAGCGCAGCGCAGCGCTTGCGTCCGCGGTTCTGTGCGTCGTTGCTCACGTGATCGTGATCGTGATCACTCTGCACCGCCTCACCTGACTCTACTCATTCTGTGACAATTAGAATCAAACTTTTCCCAAGGTGGAGAGCTACATCAGACCATTCTGACCTACTCTTGCCCACGCTTTGAAGGTCAACACTTGTCTCTTCGACCACTTGCAATGGCTGGCACGCGGCAAGCACCCTCGCATCGTGCGCGCTGGACCATGCACCACCGCCGCACTACACTACGCCTCGAGCAGAAGTTGAATGTCAAGCTCAGCCCTACATCGTCACGCTTGCGCAGCATGGCACGATACAATTACAAATGCGCTCGCGATTCCCGCGCAGCTACGCCGTTGCCGCAGCTTGCCCTTGCCCTTGCCTTTGCCCTTGCTTCCTCAGATCATCCAGAACTCGCAACTTGGCCATCTGCTCCCTCTGCTCCCTCTCCTCCTCCTCCTCCAAGCTCTCATCCTCCCTTTCCCGTGCTCCCCTCTGCGCAGCTTTCTTCTCCCTCTCCCTCCTCTCCGTCTCTCTGCGCGAAAGCCAGCCGGAAAAGTCCAGTCTGAGCAGCAGAGCGTCCAAATGCCTCCTAGCCGCACTATCAGCGTCCAATCTAGCCTCGGTCACCTTCGTCTTTGCCTTGGATGCGTTGGGCCCCTGCCCCTGTGCCTTCTTCAGTCCCGCACCATCCGCACCGACTTTGCCACCGCCTGTTCGACCTGGGCGAGCATAGGTGGACATGGACACGCTGGCGATGGACGCATCGATCGCCATGCTCGTCCCGCTCGCCCCTCCGCTGCCAGATCCGTTGTTGCCATGGGCGTCGCGCGCGCCGGGACCAGCCGAAGCGGTCGAGAGGAGAGCAAAGAATTCGTCGAGCTGACCGCGCAAGGTCTGCAGGGGATCAAGCGAGCCGGCACGGTCAACACGTGCGACGTCGACCGATGCTCGGCAAAGCACTCACATCGGAAACATCGTTCATCGCTCTCGTCCTCTCATCGATCGTGTTGCTCACTCCGTCTCTTGCAGACGTCGTGTCCCCAATGCTTCCTTCTTCGAGCAGACCAGGCAATACATCACCTCCCCATCGACTGGCCACCAGTCCCGCAAACTTTTGACACGTGTCGCAGATAGCTCGAATGAGCGTCGTCGCCCGAGGAGACCTCAGCAAGAGGCCATCGACGACGAAAGCCAAAAATGCCGTGTGCGCCGAGCGCAGTGTGGAAAAGTCGAGCTGAGAAGTGCCCTCTGGAGCCGTGACGATGGACGCGCCGAGTGGCCCAATGTGAGAAGAGTGACCCGCTAGCGTCGCAGCTCCGCCGTGCCTGCGAGAAGCGACGAGGGATGGCGCACCTCGCGATAGAGCCGCTGCTGCAGCTGCTGCTGCAGGTCCACTGCCATATCTGGACCTGGCCAAGCCGGCCTCTGAAGCTCTGCGACCTGAACCAGAACTCGTTCGCGGACGCGCGTCTGGATTGTCGGGTGATACTGGTCGACCAGTAGCGCTGGCCGCCACTCTGGAGCGGCGCAACGCGGCTCCGGAAGCGGGCTGTGCGACACTCCGCCCGCTTGGCTGGGCCGACAGTGGATGGGCATGATCGATGGCATTGATCGATTCGAGCTCCAATTGAGCAATGAGGCGACTGTATTGAACGTCGATAATGTCCGTCTGTGAGTTGCAATCAAGGTCGGTGAGCCGCTGTCTGGGCGCACATACAAGCCCGCTTTTTGCTCACTTGAAAATGCCCGACTAGGCTATCGATGATCCAGAGCCCTTCCCTCGCAATGTTCCAACCGAGCCTGAGCAGCTCCGAACGCGCGTGCTCCTCCATCGTATTACCGCCGCCCTCACTCGTGCCGGTGAATTTTCTCCTCAAACGCTGCGCTTTCGACATGCTGGTCCACGCATCCCGCAGTCTGGAGCTTGTCGAGCGCAAGGCCAGCAGATACGAAAACACCTCGCTGTATGCTCGAGCATCGGTCCGCGTGAGCAGCAGATCCAAGGGAAAGGGAGGAGAGTATGCGACGCAGAACGCAGAGCCTAGGGGAATATCCGCAAAAGGTGACCACGCCTCCTTGACTGCGTTGCGAGAGCGTGGTACAAGCACTCGGACGTGCGACAAGAGCTCCGAAGGGAGGTCTGATGCGCTGGCCGCTCGGTATAGCGCTACATCCACGTCTGATGGCTTGATCATTCCGGCAGCAGCGGTGCGCGTCGTGAGCTGAGTTCGCCGCAAAGAGGAGAGCTCGTCGAGAAAGAAGCTATGAAACAAACCCGAGCGGTGCATAAAGTAGTCGCCGCTGCGGGAGGGGTCCGAGTGCGCGGACAGAGCATAAAGTCAAAGTCAGCATGATCAGCGCGAGCGCGTTGAGGTGTGCACAGCGCTAGGGACGACGCACAGCATCTGCACAGTCTCCATGACCTGATCCGGAGTGAGAACATTTCCCCACATCCACTCTGCCAGTTCGTCGCGTATCCTGTCCAGTCTCAACTTGAGCTCTAGCTGCCTGTTGGCGGGGCTGACTTGGTCTTGTGGGCCAAGCAGAGCGAGATGCTGGTCGCGCATGACGCTCGGCACTCGCACGCTGGCCGGTAGCGCTCTGAGTGCCCTGCCTATGCCCAGTATGGTCTCTGCGATGTGAGGATCGAGGGAGTCGGGACAAGCGTTGGGCGCCCAGCTCCATTCCTGTCGATCTTCTTCCAAACCTGCCGCCAGATGAGCAGCAGCAGCAGGTCGATGAAGCTCTGCTTGCGCTTGCGCGTCCACATCCACATCCACATCCACATGCCTTGCTGCCACAGCATTCAGTCCATCCGCCGCTCGGATGCGAATGAACAGGCCGCTGGCGCGCCCGTGGCACACCCAACCCCGAACCCGACGAAGCCAAACGCTCTCGGCAGCGTCCAGGAGCGCCTGCATGTGCTCGCGCGTCGCACCTACCGACGCCTGCGTGCGCATCGCCAAGAGCGACAGCAACTGCGCCGGGGGCCAAGGGCGTGCCGCCGTGCGCTTTGCATCCGCCATCCAGGTCCCCGCGCCCGCGCCCGCGCCCGCGCCCCCGCGCGCTTGATTGAGCACGTAGGCCAGATCAGCCAAGTTGCTCAGAGGTCTGCACCACGGCTCCAGCGCTGCCCTGACGCCGGCGAGGGATGAGCAGTGCTGCAGTTCCAAGTCAACATCCACGTGATTGCCTCTCGCAGGCTGCTGCTGCTTGGAAGCGTGTCCAGATGCCGCCTTGCCTTGCAGCACCGCTCTCTGCACTTGGCTCACTGCTGATCTCCACATGTCCAAACGAGCGAGCATCGACCTGGCCACAGCTGCCTGCTCAGCGCCATCGACAAAGGCGACGTGGTCTTCCTCCTCCTCCTCTTCCTCTGCTTGGCCATCCGCATCCAAGTCGCTAGGATTGGCCACGTGCCTCCTTCTTCTCCTGGCGGCACTCCGAGCTGAGCGCAGAACTTCCTCGGCCCATGTTCGAGCAGTGTGAGCATCGGATGCCAGAGAGGAGAGGAACAGGAGCTGGCATACCTCGCCTGGGTGCAGCAAGGATTGGAGTGCGGGGTGCAGCGCGTCGGGGGAGGGAAAGAGGCTAGAGGGCACACCATGTAGATGCAGCAGCACCTCTGCGATCATTGTTGGCGATGGCTGTGTGAATGAGGAGCTTCGTGGTGGATGATGTGCGAGTGCGAGTGCGAGGGCGATCGAGATGATGAAAGAGCTGCGAGCTGTGCGTCACGAGTCAAGAGTCGAGAGTGACAGTCGTGCGTGTGAGTGTGAGTCAGCGCCACACGTGCATATATGCGCCCAAAGCAACACATGCTGCGCGTGCGCTGCAGAGAGAGATGCGAGAGCGCGACGCGTTTTTCCTTTTGCTGGTTTGATTGGTGCAGACTCAGACTGCGCGCGCATGCCTGATCATCGCAGTCACGAGTGCCGCACAACTTGACCTGACCCCCGCGATTAAGCTCACTTGCGCATGCATGCCATGCCACGCAGGCGCTCTACGCGTGAATGCGGGGAGTGACCGCCTGCATGAATGATCGAGACGTCACTGGGGCGTGGCTGATATCGACTCACACTGGTGACTGCGAGGGCGTCCGAAAGGGGCCATCCATAATCCCAATGTGAATGCCACAAATGCCGGCTCTGCATGCTCTTCCCTCTGCACAAACGCTGCCGAGCGTGGTGTGGCCCTCTTGACTGGCAATGTGAATGTGATTTGACCTTTGACTCGACTCACGACTGTGACTTGTCGCTCGGCATTTTGATGCGTGATTCACACACCCATGATGTGCGCTGGGAGATCTCTGCACGAAGCACCCATCCATCGCACTCGGCCGCTTGACGCAAAGCTCTGACACCCGAGTTACGATTCAAGCTTGTGAATTCTTCATTCTGATTCTGATTAGGCTAATCTCCATGCCGAATGTGAATCTCCAGTAAGCATACATTCACAACTCTTGATTCACGCGATCGCCATTGCGCCAGCTCACTCGATCGTCAACTCTCTCACTGATGCGACTGCGACTGCGACTGAGACTGCCACTGCGACATGCTGCTGCTGCTGACCGTGCCGACTGCTGACGCTAGCAATCAATTCGTGTCTATCGCTTCGTGTCTCACTCTGGCGCATTCACATTCAATTCATGCACGTCCGTCTATGCGCAGACAGACAGATCATCGCGACCTATGCTCCTCATCAAACTTTGCTCCATCGTTCGTGGCTCAGCAGAATCAAGAGATGGAGACGCCACGCATCAGCCAAGGCGCGTCATCGCTCATCGAGCTAATCAATACTCACGAGTCCTACATGCACTCACTCCTCACCTGGATCAAGACTGCATCAAGACAAGACGCTTCATTTGATTGCTGGTCAATCGCAAGCAAAAGGTTTGGCGCACTTGTTTGAAGCAGTCACGATGAGTCGAGATGCGTGGATGCGTGCGCGGGACGTATATATGGATGATTGAGGCAAGTCTGACGGACAGACAGGCAGGCAGGCAGGCAGGAGATGCGATCGCGTGAATCAAGCGTCACTATGACTCACTTCATGGCGATTGGATCATTGATGCACATGGCCACCAAGAGTTTATACGAGGGCGAGACATGGGCTGATGAACAAGCGAGCATGGTGGGGTCACGGGCTATGATTCATCTCTCTGACCCTCTAAGCGCATTTGTGATTCTTTATTGTGATTGTCTTCACAGTCACAAGTCGACACCGCATGACAGTAGTGAGTGTGAGCGTCATTGCATGCAGCTCAACCGTCCGCGTCGACGGTGTTGCGCCAAGGGATAACAAGTTAACCTCTCTCGTGTCTCGTCACACTCACCACCTCACACCCGTCTTGCAACGCTTGCATCCGCACCTCGATCTATCCATCCATTGCCTCTCATCCTCGCGCGCGACGGCCGTTCGGAACTTTGGTCGGGTTCGATTCAGCTATGAGCGCACCCTGTTGCGGCAATCTCTTCTCCCACTTCACCAACGGCGACAACGGCGACAACAACAGCAGCAGCAACAACAACACCACCGACCAAGACACTTTCTACACGCCCGCTCCCTCCCTGCATCCTTCGCTCTCTGGCTCTCCTCCGCTGACCATAGCCTCTGCTACTTGCTCTGCCCATTCTGCTAGCGTGCAGGTGCACGGGCAAGAAGAGGATGAAGTGGATGAGCTGATGGAAGAGTCACATTGCAGCACACCCACCCACAACGCATCACTGCTTCTCCCCGACTCCATCGTCCATCAGCTCATCAGCCAAAGCGCTGGACATAGAGCAGACGCCACACCACCGCAAGACGGCATTCGCGAGCAAGCGTCGACTCTGACTCGGTCCAGCAGACCGCCTCGATCTGCTCCTGCTCCTGCTCCTGCTCCTGCTCCTGCTCCTGCTCCTGCACCAGCGATGGAAAGGCACAAGCTGAGAGAGTACGACTCCCACAATTCGAGTCACGTACGAGTGGATCATGCTGCCAAAGCTCTGTGGACAGAGTATGGTGCGCTTATGCCCATCCCGACATTCAGCGAGCTAGCGAGGCTAAAAAAGGCCAAGGTGACCATGGAGAAAGCAGCAGCAGCAGCAGCAGCAGCGCAGAAACATCAACAGTCTGAGCGCCGTCAAGATGCGTCGCTGGAGATTGATACGCGAGAGAATGGCGCTCGACGTACCAAAGAGGCAGCAAAAGCGGACTGCAAGAGGACGGACGCTGCGCATACATTGGAGGACATGGATGCATTGCAGCGACCCGTTCAACGCACTGCTCTTCCTCATCGACCCAGCATCTCGCCACTGGACACGGCAGACGAAGAGGAAAGGGCCTTCTTCCTCGCCCCTTCCTCGCGCGCGCGCGGCATGGGCGACGACGACGCGTGCTCCGTCGATTCCTCGGACACGGCCGAACCTCTGCCCAGAAAGAGGCAGAGGCAGAGGCGAGCGAGCACAAGCGATGGGGGTGAAGCGCATCGTCCGCCTACTATCCTCACCTCTCTCAAGCTCAGCAAGTCTTCGCCCATTCACTCCCAGAGTCGAAATGAGGTCAAGGTGGACGTGCAACCCGACGTGGCGCAGAAGTATGGCAGAATCATAGCGGGACAGCGCAAGAGCAAGACTGGTAAAGTTCAGCAGCAAGACAATGTGAATCCTCTTCGCTTGCCGCTCTCGTCCAGTTCTCCCATCTCCGTCTTTTCCGCAGCTCATATTTCTCCTCTGTTGCAGCAGCAGCAGCAGCAGCAGCGAAGCAAGATGACAACGCCCAGCAATCGTGAAGGTCAAGTCGTACATCCGAGTCGCGCGATCAAAGACGAGCCCGATCGAGCTATCAAAAAGCTGTCGAGCGACACGCGCCACGCGGCCACAAAAATTGCCAAGCAAAATGCGTCCTTTGCTGCTCAAGCTCGCAAACGCAAGCTTGACCGTTCGACTGGCAAGCAAGAGCAGAGCGAAGCATCCAAGCGCAGAAAGAAGCGCAAACGTAGCGCAAAGAGCCAGAGCCGAAGCGGCAGTCTCAGCCTCAGCAGCGCCGACATTGTCATCGTCACTCCAACACTGAGCCGCACAAAGCCAAAGCCGGCACAACAGAGCAAAAATGTTTGCGCATCGAAAAAGGCGATTCGTGCCCGGTCGTTGCCACCTGCAAGGTCGGACGACGTTGCGTCGATGAGCATGCCGTCATCGTCACCGCCGCCGCCACCGCCACCGCAGTACAGCGAGAAGGCGATCCCGCGTGCGTGCATGAGCACTCCGTCGCCACTTCGATCTGCGGCAGACAAGCAGGCTGGTGATGTGGACATGAACGACGATGGCAACTCGTTGGATACTCCATCGCCACTGCAGCACGCGCATACATGCGCCGATGATCGCCAAACCGAACAGCATCCGAGCCAGCTTGCGGGTGATTGCGACGAAGTTTCGTTGAGCACGCCTTCCCCACCTGAAAATCGCCGCATGTACATCGTGCCAAGACCGCACAAGAAGGTGTCCAAGGGGCGCGTGAGCAGTGGTGATCAGTCGTTGGATACGCCGTCTCCTCCGCAGCAGCTGCGGGTGCAGAAAAGCGCAAAGCTCGGCACCAAGTCGTCCGACGTCGATGCTGCTGCGGACAAGACGATGAGCAAAGCTTCTTGCTTGCAAAGGGCACACGCGATGGCAAAGCAAGGCAAGAAAGCAGCCTTTGATTCCGATCAACTTATGAGCACTCCTTCACCTCCAAAGGCTAGCAGCTCCTCGCAAATCCTTGCAAAAACCGTCAATGGCAAGACATCTTCGAAAGCGAGCGTCAACGTCACGGCTATTGTCCATCGCTCGCCTTCCGCATTGAGGCAGACAAAGCATGCACCATCCCGAGCTCCTCAGGCTGCCAAATCACCAATGTCGCAAAACAAACCGACTGCTCAAGATGCGTGGGAGCAACCTCCCTACTCCCATCAGCGCAGCACCGAGGCATCCAGAGCTAGAGAGTGGATGTTGCTGCTGCAGCGCGAGCAAGGCGACGAAGCTGCCTCTGCACGGCCCGTAGCGACGGGCAAAGCCCACAAGAATGCGCAGTCAGGCTTCGGCCAGGCGGACACCGCAAGAGGCAGAAACAAATCGTGGACTCCTGCAGAGGATTTGATCGTTTGCAATGCGTAAGTCGTGAGGGGGGCGGGGCGGGGCGGGGCGAGAGCCGCGCGGAGACGACCGTACCATTCGAGCGCATTGATAGGCTCACCACGCTCTCGTTGCGCGTCGAATGCCCACCCAATGAACAGCCTCCAAGCCGCGTCCAAGCAGGTTCGAAGGTCTTTAGCGAACAAGTTGGGACGTGCTTCTAGCAGCACAGAGTTGCGAAGTGAGAGAAAGAATTCACCAGAGCTAAATTTCCCTTCCCCCCCCCCTCTCCCATGCCCCCTCAAAGCCCAGTCACAAAACAAAGCTGACCCGCTTCGCATCTTTTCCCTTCGCAGTCGACGACATTATCTGGTCCGGCTTCAACAAGCTTCACGCCGTATCTGGACTTGCGCGCGGACGTCGAGCCTGATCTTCGACGCTCCATTCACTCACGCCTGCAGCGTACCTCATGATTGCGTGGACGATGAGGGTGCAAAAGGTGCGTGACTCATTGAAAAGCGATGCGAAAAGAAGAAACTACTCGAAAGCGCTGCTGCTCTAGCGGGGCACAAGTCGGGCGTTTCTTGCAAAGACGTCTAGAGACGAGGCGATGCGGTTCGCTCGACGTCGAGAACAAATCCGTCATCTCCTGCTTGCGGCCAAGACCCCACAGAAGCAAGGGTCGAAGGTTGCCCATCAGCGCATTTGCGCTTGCTCTGCGTTCACTCAAGCCCCATGAACGGCCCTGTATGCATAACGAAGCGCAAGAGTCGAGATTGAAGATGCAATTGCGATGCGTGCATCAAAACGTCTGTGATGGGTGCAAAAAGACGACGAGTTCGTCGGCCCGTCACGCCAATGATGAAGTTGAGATAAAACTCTCACCTTTCGATGCACCACATCTCCATCTTCCGTGTATTCTTCTGCAGAGATCCACATCTGCGATTTGTGCGTTGCAAACGCACGATGTGTGAAATGTCAGCGCAAGTCAACGCGGCGCTAAGAGCCAAATCGTACCCGCCGACCAACCGACTGACCTTTTTGAAGGTGCTCAGACCAGCCAAGATGCTTCCACCTATCCACGTAGCATACTTTCGCTCGGGCGGCGCAAAGATCTTGATGTGGGAGTTCTTCACTCCCAACCTCTTCGTCTCCGTCAATAACCTCTCTCCGAATCCTGTTGTGCGAGATCATGGCATCGCACGTCAGCTCGAAGGGACCACGGATTTGTTCACGGTCACTGCGCACCTTTCAAGAGCGTGCTTCCGCCGCTGAGCACAACGCTGGCGTAGAGATTTTGCCGCAGGTCCAAATCGCACCGGTTGATAGAGTCGATGATCATTTGAGGTACTCCAGGGTATTCCAAGCCGGCCAGCGAAGGGTTGAAGAGGATTTCAGGCGCTCTAAATCGTTCCGGTCCGAGCTGAAGGGGGGCGCGCGATGTGTGAGCATCGGCGGCAGCGTCAGCAACAACAATCGTCAGATTCTTGCGTTCAAACGCGTTTTTTGCGCACCTTGATCACATTCCCGTCCGGCAATCTGAACTCTTCGCTCGGTTTCGGATCCTTTTCCTCCTTGGACGTATCGCTCGGCGCAACATAGCAGCATTTCTCCTTGATCAACCTGACAACTTCCTTTTCCGCCGTCGTGTGCAGATCGTAGCCAGCTTTGAGCAGGTGCAATTGCAACGACTCGGTCACGTCCCGACCGGCCACATCTATGCGCCTGATCGCGTGTGGCACGCTGAACCCCTCATATACCGGCACCGCATGCGTCACTCCGTCACCCGAGTCCAACACGATGCCTGTTGTTCGCCCTGACGAGTACCTGTTCAGGAGGACCAATCGAGTCAGTGCCCGACGCGGCCTCCCAAGGAGCCCACCAGCACGACTCACAAGCTGAGCACTGCCTGGATGCTGATGTACATGGCCGGCACGTTGAACGTTTCAAAGAACACTTGAGCCGCCGTGTCTCGATTGGACCGAGGATTGAGCGGCGCCTCTGTGAGCAGCACGGGGTGCTGCCGGCGGGGCGCACAGTCGCACGCATTCGGTGTCAGCACAACGCCCAAGAGCACCTTGCCCCTGCCCGCACAACGCTCACCTCCTCGCTGAGCGTGCCGAGCTCGTTGGTGTAGACGTGGTGCCAAATGCGTTCCATATCGTCCCAGTCTGTCACGATTCCGTGCTGCATTGGATACCTGACGCTAAGCAATCCCCTCAACTCCTGAGCTTTTTTGCCAATGAACAAGTCTCCCTCGACTGCGCCTGCCATGACTCTGGGATGCTTGGGCCTGCCAACACTGTGTGTAAAAGTGATCAATGTCAGAAGAGTCGCAAAGAGGCTGAAACGTACGTGCGGCCCCAAAAGACCAGCGCAATTGCAGCTTGGAGGGGGGACCTGCCAGACGTAGATCTCCCGTACCTCGCGCAGCCCGCCTTTGTCTGCCTCGCGAAGCGCATGCACACTAGTCAACCGCTACCTTGCCGATGGTATTCCTTCGGACCCCCAGATTCGCGTCGCCCTCGGGGCCCCACACATTGCTCCGCATGATGACTCACTAATTAGGAAAGAAGCATTTGGGCACATCTTCTCCTGCAAAGCCAGCTTTGATAGTTCCCGAACCTCCATCCAGCACGACGGGCTGGTTGAGCAGCACATCGTCAAACTCTGCAGGCATCGTGTATGCGCTTCCAGTGATGGGGTGTTGATCAGCGGGGCAATCGAAGGGTGGAAGGGGTGGATGCGGACGAGAAGAGAAGGTGCAGGCTGTCGAAAAAACTCTAGCCGCTTCCGTGCTCGTCTGGCACTTTGCTGTGCAGTCTCGAGTCCTGCGCCAAGAAGCCCCTTGCTGCCTGAACACAGTACGTGGACGAAGGCGTCTTTCCCCGCCTGCCGAGCTGAAGTGCCAGAAAGCAAGTAGAGCGAGGCAGAGGCCTAGAGGACGGTGATGAGCTATACAATCCAGCCTCGATATTCTCCAGCCCGTGTCCGCCTCGATTGTATGCGCCTCAAAGAAGGTGTGTTTCGGCAAACGCCAGACTGGATGCTTGATTGTAGTTGTCGTCTTCCAGGGGGGCGCGTCGTGAAATGATCGCTAGAACTCGTTGCGAGAGCAAACGCCTGGCGTTTGCACTCGGAGCGCAGACCACTCGCAACTCGATGCAGGGAGGAGTGTGTGATTGTGAAGGTCTGACCGAGTCTCGAGTCTCGAGTGCAACATAGGCACGAGTGACAGTCGAGTCGAATGTAGCGTGGGCTGGTCATGCAACGCCATCGTTCATCCTCCGATCAAGCTAGCCCGCCCGCGCACGGCGCGACGCAACACATCAACGCGTGCGCGTGCGCGTGCGTGGGGTTGCGCTTCACGAGCCCACGCTATGCAGCCTGATCTTTCTCGTACGATAGCACATCGATCATTTAGCTTCATTCTGCGCAAATGCCAGTCAGGCTCCACGCATGGTTCATACCTAGCAGCTGGGGGATCTTGAAGATGTCGACTTTGTGGCAAGTCTCAATTCATGTCGAGATGACGGTCTTAGGGATCGGACAGACGCCTGCGCACAGCAATCATCAAACCGATGCCAGGAGTGGCCAACGAAGCCTAAGATTCGGCATTGGAGATATCAGAAGCTGAATGGACGGGCATCACCTCCAAAAGATCAAATGGCAAGATGGACGTGCAGATGCAATCGTGGCATTCACACTGGCCTGCCCTAATCCCGACACACCAGCACTGCGCGATCGTCTCTGATCGAGTACAGCCACTTGATAGCAAAGACACGACGCACATCAGCCGGAATGAGAGAGCGGCGCGGCGACGCTTTTAGCAGACAGCACTTACGCAACGATCAAGATGTGAGATGCTGATTTGGCAGATCAATGGCACGCACAGTCGCTCAGCGTCTACGCGTACTGGATAGCACGCTGCGGGCAGCTCGAATACGCCATCAACTCACTGATCCAGCACATTGCGCACATACTCCCTCTCTTCCGCGTTACCCTCCAACCGCTGATCCTTACCAATCATAGCAGCGGCGCACAATCTCTTGAAAGCCGGCCCGACCAGGTCCACCGCGATGATGGGTGCGCCCGAAGCGTCTTTGGAGATCGCTTCGACGCACCTAGCAGCTTTGGCAGCTGCCGGTGCTTGCAGACGAGCGCGCCTATCGTTGTTGCCCGATCGCTCCGCTTTGCGAGAATTGTTGGAAGCTCGTTCAGGCGCCAAATACTGAACAGATGCGGCGCTACTGGGCGTGTGAGAAGCGCTCGAGCTAGACGCGGCATTTGTCAGAGCTGCGCTGCTGACATTCGTCTCGCCCGCCCGCTGTCGACCAATATGCTCCGCCAACCATGCGACCAACTCGGCGCGAGGCACCTCGTTAAAATCGCCGTGCAGAATTGACCGCACTTTGCACGTCGTCGCATGCTCGGACCGCACCAGCACGAGATAGAGAATTCCTTCGGCCCGGCACGTCGCTGCTAGGACTTCTGGGGAAGAGGAGACCATGTCTTCGTACGCCAAGTCCGCACTGATCCCCGCTGCCCATAGCTCATGACACAGCTCCATGCGCTGCGTTGCCAGATCAGAAGAGCTTGCAGCGACATATACGTCTGGAAGAGAGCAAAAGTTGAGAACGGCAGGTGAGCGTCGTCCACAAATACTCAGAGATGAAAGAGAAACGGCTCACCACACCGCCTGGCTGTCCAATTACCGTATGTCCGAGCATGTTCGTGATAGCGAGAGACGGCGAGGGCGATCCGACCTGCTGCTAGCTGGATGCCAACGGCATGTGGAGGTGCACGTGAACCGCTCGGGCTGGAGAATTGCTTGATGAGCCAGTCGTAGCGGCCACCAGAGGCCTAAAGGCAGACAGGCCATCGAGTGTCAGGTCTTGCCGCTCCTCATCGCAATGCTCACGTACTCACAAGAACATCGCGCCGTTTGAAAGACCTGACCACTTGGAAGTGGCAAGCACCGCGATAGAAGCCGTTGCTGATCAAAAGCGGGGTGAACAAGAAGCGCCTCCTAGAGCCAAAGCGTTCTGCAGCCTTGATAACGCTCTCTATTTCCTGAACGGCTCGACGGAGGCGCGGTCGAAGATCCACAGCTACCAGGCGTTCGAGCTTGGGCTGGACAACGGCGATGCTATCGGACACGTTGAAGGATTCCAACTCCTCGACGATGGATCGAGGAAGGTGCAAATCCAATAGCTTTGCTCTGGCCGCTGCGGTGCCAGCCTTTGTAGCGAATCCGCCGATGGCCTGTAGAGCTTTTTGATAATGCTTAGAAGGTACGCGCTCGAGTGCAAGATCCAACACATCCCCGTGCGATATGAGAACGACCCAATCTTCCGGATTGAGACCCGGCGTCGTCTCGAGCACGTCGTCGATGACTGCAAGCATTTCTCCCTCTGCTGCGAATGTGCGTTCGGGCGAGACGACGTCAAAGTCGATTTCCAAAAGCGATAGCGGTTGTCCGCCTGCCAGAAGGTTTTGCCGGTAGACGGGATGCATTGTGTATCGCTTGAAGCGTTGGTTCTGGGTGCGCGCCGCGAGACGAGCGAAAGGAACGATGAGATCGTAGGGCAGCCATGCTACCTGACCCGTCTTATCAAGCATTTCCACCGGCTTGCGTGTATCATCGTACAGGTCGTTCGGAGGAAGCAAAAGAGGGGCATCCAGCTCGACGGCGCCGTGACGGTGGAATATCTGTCGCAGGTGGTCACACAAGACGGCTACAAGACGATGGTCTTGCCCGGCGCTCTCTTCCGTGCCGGCGTCAAAAGTAAAATCTCGAGCCCAGCGCAAATCTTTGGGTTCTTCGCGGTTGAAAAGAGCTTCTAGAAGCTGATGGTTGTATGCGCTAGACGGGTTCGACATGAGCCGCATGCACTCGGCCAACACTTCGTCCTGCCGAAATGCACTCTTGCCTGTCAGCACCGGCCCGTCCGATGTGGCGCTCAGCACACAATGCTCACCTCAAGCTTGGCGGGGAGCAGATCACTCTTGAGGAGCTCAAGCGGCGAAGGACGCTTTGTTGGATCGTGCGTCAAAAGCATCTTGATGATCTTGGTCTGGGGCACAAGTTGCGCTTCTGGCCATGCGTCAGGAAACACGACGTCCGCTCTTCTCAGTTGTCGGAGGACGCTTACGCGCTCCATGCCGGTTTGATACACTCGCTGCGCAGCCAGCATCTCGAAGAAGATGATTCCAGCTGCGTACATGTCTACTTTGGCATCGTACCGACCTCCGCCGCCTTTCGCCTCCACCTCGGGTCTGCAGTGATGGCGAGCATCAGTCCACGTTCAAAGGCTATACAGCTGCTGCTCGTCACTCACGCGATGTACAAGTTTGTTCCGATGTCGCTCGTCAGCTCTGTCGATGCGCTTATGTCCGCGTCTAGTGTTCCATTCGTAGTCTGGGCCTGTCCGTCGCCGGCATGCTGCGCCGTGGTGGCGAGACCAAAGTCTCCAATCTTGACATTCCCGGAAGCCTCTATGAGAATGTTGGAAGGTTTCAAATCCCGATGAATGATGCCGAGAGAGTCTGTTTGCGAGTTGGCAAGTCAGCTGCCTGGACGCCCAACAATGGGGACCCCTCAGACTCACGTATATGGACCAGCGCCTCTATGATCTGTCTAAATAGCCGCCAAGCATCTTCGAACGTCATGCCCTTGTCTATCGTCTCTCTCAAGGTTTGATTCTCGACGAGCTCCATTTGGACAAACAGCCATCGAGGTCGAGCGCTGAGAAGCGGTGGACTCGCCTCGGGTTTGTGCGAAGCTCTGCGCGAAGCCGCTCTGGACGCGCTCGGACGCTGACTGATCGCCCGACCATTCCGAATGGAATTGGTCGGGGTGACCGAGCGCAAAGCCAGCAATCCGCCGCCTGCCGAGCTCTCGTCATCGCTGTCATCCTCTTCATTGCTCAACTCTGCATCCGACGGCCCCTCGCTCGATTCGCTGCTGTCTTCTTCTTCTCCAAAACGAACCTCTCCACCTTTGGAGAAAGCGTCGTGGCCGACAGATAAAAAATCATCTGCGGCGAAACCTAGATGCAGCGACTCGTCGGCGTTGCCGTTGCTCGGCCTGGAACCCTTGGCAAAGCTTGACGTTGTAGGAATCGTCGAGCTCATTTCGCTACTCCCTGCAGTCGTGTGAGCATCTTCTTCCTGGATCCAACAAGTGACATATCTCACTGCGTAACCAAGGACAGTATGCGTCAGAAGCCACCGCTTCCCTGTTCGCAATGATCTGCTTGGCACCTTGCCTCACCAATATAAGAATGATTGAGACGGGACAGAGCAGTGATTTCTCGAAGTGTGCGCTCATCATTTTCGACCGAGCTAGACAGCTTGATCTTCTTGATGGCGTACTTTCTTCCATCTAGACGGTTCTGTGCAGCAAAGACAGCTCCATACGCGCCCTTTCCGACTGTTTGCGGATGCACGACACCATCAGCAAACGGGTCGGACGCCTTCGAGCCGTCTGCCAATGCAACTTACGCAGCTCGAGTTCTTGAAAATCGCTCTCGTACCTGCTCATCGCCCCACTCGCCTGAGTCGCTGCTGCGTGTCGGAGCTGCCAAAAGCTGCCTGGTCTCGTCGGTGGGACAGCCGATGGTAAGCCGAGGTCGTGCAGCCCCAGCGGCGAAGATGGGCTCTTGGCAGCCAAGCCAGCCGGCACCTTGAGCGCAGATTCGGGTTGTCTAGCATGGCCGGCGCCTCCGTCGCCCGGCTCTTGCGTAGCGCTACCCGATTGAGCATGCGTCTCCTCGTACGCGATAATCTCTTCCAAGGAAGCAAGAGCATTAGCAGCGTACGGTCGCCTTTTGGTGGCTCGCTCCAGGAGGCTCGATATCCAGGTTCGCGCATGAGCAGGTACGGTGTGGACCGCTTCCTCAGAAGACAGGGCCTCCGAGGGGCTCGCAAAGCGATCGTAAGCGCTGGTTCCGAGCAACAATCGCACGCAGGCTACTCCCAAGTCCCACACATCTTTTTTGCGAGAATGAGCCGGGGTAGGCTGCGCATTCGTGTCGCCGCCTTCTCGCATCTCGGGTGCTTGCCATGTCGCTGGCAGGCGGTCATTTGCCGAGGCGAGTGGTAATTGCGGTTCACTACGCCGGAGAGGATGCTGAGTGTTCAGCTCGCTTAGGCGACCCACATAGCCTGCTCCTGCCAGCTTCGCACAGTCTGCCGCTTTCGATGCATCTCGCACCAGCTGTATGCTCTCTAAGCTGACGCTTCTGTGAAGGACGTTGCTAGAGTGGAGAGTCAGTAGACCCCCGAGCAACGAAAGCATGAGGAAGCGAACGCGATTCCAGGGTACAAATGGTACGAGCTGGAGCAGCTCCGCTGCGCTGGGCCCAGGCGACCTGTCGTGTAAGACGTAAAGCCTTCTTTGACGCAAAGAAGATGTTGCGGGATTTGCTTGGCTGCGATCTTCATCCGTTTCCGGATCCAAAAAGACCATGGCGCTCGCTGCTACTGCGACCAAGCCCGGATGCCTGACGGCACGCAACCTGTCCAACTCCCACTCCACCTCCTCAAGTTGTCTTCGTCCACTAACCAGGGCGTAGTGCTCCGAGTCTATGCGGAACACGTGCATTTCCCACGGAGCAGCCGCTTGATCTGCATCGCATTCTCGTTGCTTGCCCTTCCCGTTTGCGACGATGGAGTCATCGGGAACAGGCTCGGCAAGGTAGACGTTCGCTAGTGCGCCTCTGCGGAGTACAGGGCCTAGCCTGACTGCATGAAGCGGAGGGCGGTCGTCACCCTCTGGACTTTCGATGGGATCTACAAAGTAGACGATGCCTTGCTGCCGTAGCTGTTCGGAGCTCAGCGAGAGGATGTGGGAGGTGCTTTCGGATCGCAGCAAGCCGGGAGATCTGGCCGAGGAAGCGTCGATCTGCCTGCTCCTCTGCTTCTCCATCTCTTCGGCCATCGCGGCGCTCCTGAGAGCGGATTGCTCCTCGATGAGCGCAGCGAGCTTCTTGGCGCGTTCTGCCTCCGCCAAAGCTGCCTTCTCCGACTGAGCACAAGCCAAGGCTTGCTCGGCCTGTTCGGCTCGTCTGGCTCGAAGATCTCGCTCGTCGTCCAGACTCTTGAGAGGATCCTTGTCCACTTTGACTTCGTGATGAGCATCGAGCCACTCTGCTGCAAGCTCCACGAGATCCCAAATCATCTCTGCGCCCACCAGCTGCTTGGCTTTCTGCGTCAATGCGCTGCCAAGCGCAGCTCGCCTGGCCGGGGTGATGCCCTTTGTGCGCGCATCTGCTGCCGATTCTTCTGGACCGAGCACGCTAAATATGGGTGGCAGGAGGGGATACCTACGCGGTAGCTTGAGCCTCACGACGACGGCCAGGTGCTCTTTGAGCTCCTCCGACGTGGGACGGAGCACAACATCGAAAGAAGGTTGCGCATCGCTGGCCGGTGCCGAGTTCCACGCTGTCCGGGGCGCGGGCGAAGGTGCAAAGTCATGCCCCAGAATGGAAGTCAGCGCTTCGATCTCTTGACTCTGCATCTCTGCCAACTCCTGAGGCGATAGCGAAGGCAGTTCGGTCGCTTTGGAGCTGCCAGCTCCGGATGGAGCGGCGGACGATCGATTCGGCATCGTCGCAGCTGCACAGCTTAAGGGTGTATGCGCTCATTCTGCTGCGACAAGGAATGTGAGAGTGGCTGCACAGCTGCAAAAGTGGTGGACATGATGAGTGATGTGATCAGAAACAGCGTCCAAAGGGTCAAAGTGTAAGGCATGCAATCCAATAGGGCGAACCTTCGGCCAGAAAGCTTCGAGGTGAAACATGGGGGCGTTCATGCGTCATGCGTGGAGGCGAGGTGTAATGGTCACGTGAACCTTGTCGCAGCGCGTCGACGCACAGCCTTGACCTTGAACTCACAGCCGCGCGTCCAGGGTGAGAGTTCACGTCCACCACGCCTCTTGACTCCTCAGACTCCTCGCCGTTTCACAACTCTCGCCAGCAGCGACTTCGCCCTTCATATCGACGAGCTCCCTCGGCTGGCCGTGCATCGCGCATAGCCAATGAGGTCACGCGGCACTCGCCCGAGCCAAGGTCGCCAGTAGGTGCAGCTGCATCGTCAGCAGATGTCAGCTGGGCTGTATGCGCTCTCATCGCAAACCCATCATGAGGTCCTCTTCGCTGTTCAGCCTTTTGAGCTGCGCACTTCTGCTCTGCACCTCTTCTGTCGCCATCTTTCCCTTCAAATCAGCCCGTTTCTCCGCCAACGGTCTGGTCTCTGCAGGAAGTTTAGGACTGGGACCTTCGGATGGAGCCGTGGTCAGCTTGGGAGACTTTGACGCGGATCAATTTGTCGACTACGTCACCCTCTCTCCCGACTCTGCGACGATCAAGGTCTGGACTTGGGATCACCGTGAGTCGCTCCAGCGAGATGGGCTGCGCGCTTGTGTTGGAGACTATGCTCATTCCTGCTGCCTCTCTCTGCGCGCAGACGCTTTCAAATTCCGGACCGAGCCGTACGCCACGCTGAAAGCTCCGTCTGGCTGGTCAGTCGTGAATGTGGTATCTGCAGACTTTGACTACGATGGCAGGCTCGATATTCTGCTCGTCCTCAAACACTACGGCAGCCGCATGTCTGATCACAGCGAGACGCGTCTGCAACTGTGGAATGGGGACTCGGCCGGCGGTTTCAGTGAGTTGGATCAGAGCGTGGCTCGGAGGGCACTCCATGTGCTGACGTTGAGCCACTTGAATGCTTGCAGAAGCGTCACCGATCGAGCTACCTAGTGCTGGTGATGCACAGCCCCTCATCTTTGATGACACTGGAGATATGAAAGTGGACCTGCTGGGCCAGGCTTGGGCCAATCCATCCGCGAGCGACAGTGCATCTTCCGGACTCAAAATCTGGCGCAACAATCTCGGCGCACCGAATGGAAGCTTCGCAATGTGGGTTGTTTTGCGAGGTTAGCACGGAATACCCATGGTTCCTGACCCAGCTGACAGGTCTGCCCATGTGACAGCGAGAACGCCCCTTTGCAGCACGCTCCTGGCACTGCTGGCTGCCGATTAGCCAGCCCCCACAGCTCAGCTTTCATAGACTTAGATGGAGACTGCTTGGCAGGTGAGCCTGCACCCAAGCTGCAACCCATGTAGCCTCTTTGGCGAGCTGACACATGGCAACACGGACAGACTTGTTTCTCGTTTGCGAAGGCGAAGGTGGGCGGACGAGGTACGAAGTACATACCGCGTCTAAACGTAGCAAATCTGAGCCTTTCAAGCTGAGCTTGAGTGGTCATCTACCGATGGGAGCGGGCGCACTAAGTTTTGCAGATATGGATAGAGATGGGACCATGGATGTAGTCTTTCCCGCCTGCGACTCGAAAGGATGCTCGATCAACATTGCGCACAACCGTCAAATGCCCCTATGCAAGCAGGAAGGGGGCTGGTTCGGACCTGGACCTGGCGGACCTGCAAAGTCCCAGAGCAAACTTCAAAAGGCCGCCGCGAACGTCGGTGCGAGACAGTCGACTTGGTCTGCGCGCGATGCCTCCTCGCTTGCCGATCCTGCCGATGCGTCGAGCAGGAGAATTACTTGCAGGACGCCAGAGAGCCTCTGCACCAAGGACGAGGGCTTTTCCTTTGATTTTGAAGTCGGATCTGCCAACTCTGTGAGTGCCAGCGAATGACTACGACGACCTGATTGCCATGAGGAGGGCTGCTGAAGTATCACTCCATTTGCACGCAGGACATCACAACGCTGCCGCTGACAGCGATAGTGCCAGAAGCATTTCTAGCGCTGGACAATACCTTGGCTTCTCCCGCAGTGCCGCTCGCGTTATCCATAGGAGACTTTAACAAGGACGGGTTTCCGGATCTGGTCATCGTCACACTTCCCGATCACAATCGTCCGGATCATACGCGTGTTAGATTGTTAAAAAATGTCGCTTGCTCATCGGGCAAGTCAGGCTGCCCACCAGAGGGATGGGAAGCGAGCAGGACCTTTGAGGTGGTCACAATAGGTGCAGAGGTGCTGGAAACGTTGGACGATGTCAGAAGCGCCACCTTTTTGGATATTGACGAGGACGGAACCTTGGATCTGATGCTGCAACGGCAGGTATCGGCCAAAGGCGGCGCTCGAGGCGCTCCTACCACGGTCACGTTTGTGCAGAACAATTACTTTCACGACGCCTTCTTTTTGAAGGCGGTAACGCTGAACGGGGCGTGCATCGGATACTGCGAGCCCAGCGACGGACCGCGCTTCAAGCCTCGAGCTGTGAACTATGCGGGCGCATCGTACAAATTTACAGTGCTGGATACGAACGGTGTGCGACGAGCTCAGCAAGTCGGCCAACTTCCACAACACACCTATCGATCGCTGCAACCGCCTTACTCCTATTTTGGATTGGGCCGGACGAACAATTACGTCGAGAGCCTTTTCGTTGGCAGCACGCGCAGACAGCCGCAGCACTTTTTGGCTATGGAAGGAGTGGTGCCCAATAGTCATGTAGTCGTTGTGCCATGGCAAGATGCGAACGCTGCTGACGGTGGAGATCCCGGTCAGTGGCACAAGGAGCTCTATCTGAGCCCGGCGGACTGGATACCTGCCGTCACTGCTGTGCTGGTCTGCCTCATCTTGCTCCTCGCGACCATCGTCTTTGTGCTCCACATGAACGAGAGGGTGAGTCGGTGCACGAACTTGCGACTTTTTTCTGCTTTGCATGCAAGCTGAACCCGTGCGGCAACATGCACACCCCCTCATCCTTTTTACCATTGCTAGCGAGAGGATGAGCGGGAACGCAAACGCGCCGTGCACGCTATCAATTTTGATGCCCTGTAATGATATCAGTAAAGATGCCGATCACCCCTCGCATCTCGTGTGCCGTCTTGCTGGCTTCTGTCCGAGCGACTTGCTGCGGACAGCGCACCGACACGAATGCGGATTTATTGCGAAACGTTTGGTACGGCGATCACTTTGTGCTCTCTCACGCCGAACAGCCTCGTCGGTGCCGCATACTTTCACGCCGACTCGCAGACCCCTCAAGCCAGGTGCACCCTCAATAACATCGATTCACAGTGAATGCCCCCCCACCATCCGCTCGCACTTTGACATGCGACGGTGAGAGTCGTGGTGCCACTGAATGGTGTTCGGTGAACCGTATCAATGACGATATCCAACCTTGGCTTTATGTGGGCGCGCGCTTGTCCCTTCTCACTGCGCCCCCGCTCTCCGCCACCAGAAACGTGTCGTGCGCCAGCGACAAGGCGCCATGAAGATCGACTGGGATCATATTCAGGAAGAAAGGAGCTCAAGAAGATCAAGTGGGAAGGGGGAATTGAACTTTTGCATGAAGATTGCCCTGCGCAGCCTTATTGCTACAACTTCGCTTTGACTTGCTGCTGCTGCTGCTGCTGCTGCTGCTGCCGCTCCTCCTCTTCCTCCGGCTCACCCGAGGCCGCGCCGCACTCTACTAGCCTCTCAAATTCTGCCGCATCCACACCTATCCATTCCCTAAGCACGCTGGCGGTATGTTCACCTGGCTGAAGCAAAAGTTCCGGCGATTCGTCCTGCACATTATGCTCCGATCCTTTGGGCGCGATGGCTGGTGTGCGGCTCAGACGAGGAGCGGGCTGAGGCACCACCGGTTCGCCCGACACGGCTATTTCTGCAGCTACGACGGGCTGAACAGCAGACAGCGACTCGTCGCGCGTCAAGACCGGCACGGCGCAAGCATCGGTACCGAGAAATTTAGAGGTCCAATACTCCCGCGTCTGCGTCGAAAAGACGCTGGTGAAGTATGCTCGAAGTGAGGGCCAGGTCGTTCGATCATTTTGCGTCGAGACGGAGGGATGACCCTCGCGCGTTGGAGCGCTCGGCGTCGACTCTTTTAGAATGCGAAGCAGCTCTGCGTAAAAAGGAGGCTCGATTGCTCCGCTGTACATTGGCAGAGGGGGAGGGAGACCGTAAGATGAGTGGGCAGCATGAGCGGGCAACTTTTGGAAGCGGACAGGATTGTTGCATTCAAGACGAGAGCGCATCACTCACACGCTAAACCATTTCCCATCTCTGCACTTGTACACGGCGTACCACGGAGCTCCACCCGTCAATGCCCCCGTCCCTCTGCTGCCCTCTGTTCCATCTGCCGCCACGCTTCCCCACTCTGGGTGACTCAGATAACTGCTGATGAGCAAAAAGGAGCTCAGATATCGAGCTCCCGTCACCATGTCCGACTCCACCACTTGGCCCTTGCCAGATTTGGAGCGCTCTAGCAGCGCGAGCAGGATGCCCAGAACGCAGATCAGCGAACCGCCGGCAAAGTCGCCCAATAGATTAGCGGGGAAAGAGGGCGCACCGCCAGCTTCGTTGCCCAGCATCTGATTCGCAAGCGGGTGAGGAATCAGTCAGAGTGGGGCAGCCTTTTACGACGCTGCAGAGCGCGTCAGAACTCACCGACAGCAGACCGGAGAGCGCAATGTAGCTGCAGCGCAGCGCAGCAGTGATAAGCGTGAATGTTCAGATTGTGCGCGTCGGCCGCCGCCCGCCCGCCCTTTGTCAACGCACTCGTGTCAGACTGCGACTTACTTGATGTCGTGACCTGCCATGCTCGCGTACGGGCCTGTTCAAGTAGAGGGGAGCCGCAGCGACGATGAGACATGTCTCAGCCTGGGCTGCATCGCGCGTGCGTACACCGCGGGCTGAATGAAGCGTCGCTTGCGCCCACGCACGCACGCCCACGCTCACGCACATCGCTTGCTTGCTTGCTTGCTTGCTCACCTTGCCTCTGAAAGCCAGTCAATCTGGCAAATACGCAGCCTTCATTCGCGCCACATGCCTCTCTTCCCTGCCTCACATCTTCCGGTCCCAAGCCCAACCTCTCCAGCACTCCGGGTCTAAAAGGATCCACCACCACATCCGTCTGGCTCAACAATCTTCTGATCACGCGCAGACCCTGTTCGTTCTTGGGATCCAAAGCTACGCTCTTCTTGCCGCGAACGAGGGAATCGGGATTGAAAGAGGCATTCACCTTGTCGATTCGGATCACTGTGGCACCGAAATCAGCTAGGATCAGACCGACCATCGGACCGGGCGCTAAGCCCGCAAACTCCACCACCTTGAGCCCAGAGAGGGGCAGCGCGGCTCGAGAAGAGGTCATCGTCGGTGGGGGGGGGGAGCTTTGCCAGTGTTCAAGGTTCTGGCTTATTGTAGGCTTTTGATGATTGACTGACTTTTGTTCGCTCTTCTTGGCTGATGATGAAGGAAGTCAGAGTGTCGAGTGTGAGTGTGAGTCTGAGCGTCCGCAAAGAAAGGATCGTCAAAAGCAAAACATCGAACTCGTGACTTGTGGTCAGGATCAATCAACAGCTTCCATGCTGCAACAACAACAGGCAGCAGACACGCAAGGCATGCCCTGCATGCATCACCAGCAATAACCGTCCCACCGCACCGAAAGGTGCGGGGAAGTCACCCGCGCGCGGTTGCGGTGACTTTCGCTCGGTAAATTCAGATTCACGATTGCGTGTGCATATGGCGTGTATATCGCACCGCTTCACCGCGCGCGCGCCGAACCTGGCACCGGCAAATGTGACAGCCGGATGCGCGGCAAGTCCGCGGAGGTTGCACGGTGACTCATGTGCCGTGCTGACGACTGCTGCTGCTGCTGCTGCTGCTGCTGCTGCTGCATGCTCCACATCATACCGTACAAGGCACACTACCGATACTCTTCACTCGTGACTCGTGACTCCTGACTCCATGGCTACGGCCGAAGCGGGCCGCGTCACCTACGGTGGGTGCGGTAGATAGTCACAGTCGTGAGTTTCTATCTGATTCGTGATTCGTGATTCGTGATTCGTGATTGAGCGCTCGCTCGGGCATAAGGCCTTACGACTCATTGACTCTGACTGCACGCTCTCTTCAAGCTTCCCATCATTCGTCGCTCTGTCGAGATCGAGAAGCACATCACTGAGCCTATACAGACGCCTGTGTGCGACGCATACACCCCTCTGATTTGCACCATCACCCAATCTCAGCTCAATCTCGACCACACCACACCCCCGCACCCCACCCCATCCTC